CTCTCTCTCTCTCTCTCTCTCTCTCTCTCTCTGTTTTTTTTTTCTCTTTTTTTTTGGGTTTGTGTCAGTCTATTTTGAGTCTGTCCTTGAGTTCGACTCGAAACACTTTTCTGAGATTGTTTGAACTCTGTTTTTGTTGCCAGACTGTTTGAGTTACTTTGAGCCTGCTTTCAGTACATGTTGAGTTTGTTGTGCTCTATATGTGCATTTGAGTCTGTGTGAGTACTTTGACTGATCTTTGCCATGTTTCTTTATGCGGGCGTAGCCCGCACCGCCCGCACCGCGGGCGCTAAGCTAGTTCAATTGACGACGCACGAAAGGAGTTATTGGCCTTCGTACACGCGCTAAGTGGTGGCGCCATTTTCTTCTCGGCCGAAGTCAGTTCCAATGGGTAACAGATAACAATCCATTGGTCTTCTATAAAACCCAAGACACGATCAATAGTACCATCACCCGTTGGATGGCTTTCATTGACCAGTTTGACTTCTTTCCCGATCACATTCCGAGAAAGTCAAACCGTTTTGCGGACGCCCTTTCACGGTGCCCGGACCTTTGTACTGCGGTCTACTCGACGTTCGAGGTTGACGACTACTCGCGGGACAGCTTCATCCGCGGCTACCAAGTCACCCCAAGTTTCGCGACAAGTATGCGAATTGCTCCTCTCCAAATCCGACGCCATCGCACTATCGGATCCAAGAGGGTTATTTGCTAGTCCACTCGCGGGGGAAGGATCTTCTTTGCGTGCCTTGTGATCCACACTTGCGTACGCAGCTTCTTGGTGAGTTCCACGACGCTCCCACCACCGGACACTTTGGAGTCCTGACCTTCTTGGCGAGCGTTTCTGGTGGCCTGACCTCCTTGGCGACGTCGCACGCTATTGCGAGTCATGCGAGGTGTGCCGATGTTGCAAATCCCGCAATCATTGTCCGTTCGGCGAGTTGCAACCATTACCAGTCCGCTTAGGACGATGAGAATCGATTGCCATGGACATCACCGGGCCGTTCCCCAAGCACAAGATCGGTGTGGATGGGATTTTCACGGTGGTCGATCGACTCACCAAGTTCGCCATGTTTTTGCCTTGTCACTATAGCACCGCAGTTGGCCGAGGTTCTTTACGCCGGTTGGATTTGTACCAAGGGTTCCCCCAAGGAGATCGTTTGCGACCGCGACACTTGGTTCATATCCGACTTTTGGTTGGCGCTCATTAAACGATGGGGCTCATCTCTCAAGCCGAGTTCATCTCGCCACCCACAAACTGATGGCCAAACGGAGAGGGCCTGACCACTTGCCCGTCCACCCGGTATTTCATTGTTCAAAGTTGGCTCTTTTCGTTTTGGCAAATTGGGATGACTTTCCCGGGCGACGATCGCAAGACCCACCCTCCATGGACGGTTTTCAGGAGGTAAGCGACATCATTTCGCAGCGGTGCTACAGCACCAAGCCGACGGTGTACTTAATACACTTTTCTTATTGTAGCCATAAGGCTGACCGTTGGTTGACCTGTGCGAAACTTCACGCCTCAGCCCCCGATGTCCTCGCACGTTACGAACGCAAACAGCAGGGCAAGCTGGTACCTTCGGCTCCACGTCGTACTCGCGTCCAGGTTCCACCATCGGATCGTCAGCTTCGCCCTTGACCTGGCTTGACTTCACAAGGAGGGGGGGGTGTTACATGCTGAGCCTGCACACGGGCCCCGTTTTGGGGGCCCAACGGTTGCTGGGGGGCCCCAGGCCGCACGCCTTTCGGACATGCGCCCTGGAGGGCCGCATGATTCGATTTGAGGCAGCATTTATTTATTTATTTATTTATTTATTTTTTGCTGTCCTATTTTTGTCTGTTCAGGCCTCGTTTTGGACTTGCAGTTCGTCTGAACAGACTTTTGGTCTGTCCGGCCAAAGGCCACGTTTTGGGCTTTGTACATTCACAGGTAGGCCCTTTCACGCCAGGTCCGTTTTTGTCCAGCAGCGGACACTCCCTGCTGCATCAGCAGGGAGGGCCTGGAAGTCCGGTAGGGACCCTGGCAGGCCACGTTTTGGCCTAGGACCAGAGGCACACCCGCGAGGCCCAGCGCTACTTATAGCTGGGGCAGGCCAGGGCAGACACAGTTCGAGTAGCTCACTTCTTGGGCAACACGCTGCTGGAGCAGCACGACATGGCATTGCGCTAGAGAGTAGAGGTGTAGGTAGGGTGAGGGGCGGAGGCGATACCTGCATCGTCGGTCCTCACCTGGGCGCCATAGCTGGCTCCATGCCAGTGACCTGCAGAGAGAGAGAGAGAGAGAGAGAGAGAGAGACCAGCTGCAGGTGAGACATCGAGGAGGATGACGTCTTCTTCTTCTTCCTCGTCTCGCCCTCCTTCTCTTCTTCCTCCTCACTCCTCCTTCTTCTTCTTCTTCTTTCAGAGAGAGAGAGAGAGAGAGAGAGAGAGAGAGATTACAGGCAGAGGTTACATCGGGCATGGAGCCCAGGATCTGATCCGACATTTTTGAGGCAGACATTGATTGGACATCGGCGGGGAGACTATTTTTGGATTTCGCTATCGCGATCTTGGTCTTCTCCCTCCTCGCCATCTTTGTCTTGGCTCTCCCCTCCGTGTTATCTCCCCCATGTGCGTGTTCAAGGAGGGACCTTTCTTCCATGTATGCGGTCCCTCTCCCTCTCTCACATGTGTGGTGTATGATGGGGTGTCACGTCAGTATCTGACAGGTCAGGTCATATCTTTGAGTCTTCCGCTGCGCTACATTGTGCTATTTTCATATGTATCTGGATGTACATTGCTCGTTGATGCTTTGCTGACGCTGCATTGTCCACTCGAGTCCTTTTCATCACTTTGTGGATCCTTGCCTCCATATTACATCGCTCAACTGAGCATGTATCATCGACCCAAGTGTCTGCACCCAGGCCCAATGCAGATAGTGGCCCAGGCCGGCAACAGTTAAAGCTGCCCATCTGTGCGATCGTGGCCACCGTCACTCGCTGCTTCCCCATTGGCCAAGAGGTCTGGAGCCATGCCACTGCCTGGAGGATCCCGGAGGGCTCAGATCAGAATATTGTGGTCACACTGGCGTGGGCCTTTAGGGCGCACAACAGGCTTGCTGGGGGCCCCTACATCGCCGGCTGCTGAGGCTGAGGCCAAATGGCCTCGCGAGGGCCCATTCCTCTCATTTGTGACAGACGGATGAGAAAGATGGTCAGTTGGGGTAACTGTCATTCCTTTGGGTAGTGTCGAGGAAGGTTAGGCTGGATGATCCTTTCCATCTTACCTTGTCGAGGATGAGGTTGTAGTCAGACAGCAATCCTCTAAGCGTCTTCACCTCTTTGTTCAGAGCCTCGTTCCTGCAGGAATGTCCACAGCGACAGGAATCAGAAACCAGTTGACACTAAAGAGTACCTCCCGGGAAAAAAAAAAAGAATTGAACCGGGGGCTTCTGGCATGACCAGATAGTAAAACAATCCAAGTTAAAGAAGGGAAAAAGGAAAGCAGACTGGCACAAGGTGACGAAACAAATCGGAGAGGATCCGACCAAAAAGCACGAGATCATCACCAGATTTGTAAAGGAGAGTCTGGGGTCGGGAAAGCTCGGCTCACTGGAAAAATGGCTTACTCGACTGGAGGTGGCAACCTGAGACAGGGGATGGAGAGGGTGATGGCTCAACAGTGCAGATCCGGTCGGGCCACAGTGGCTCGGTTGCTGTAAGAGTCAGTATAACATCAGATGAAGACTGGAGACACGAGAATACCGGAGGTCGGGATGAGAGGTAGGGGTCACAATCACAAGGCGTCTGTTTTTTCAGTACGTGGGTCCACTTTTAAAGAGGGCTGCAGAAAGTGTGGGCCAGACTGCACAAGGAAAGAGTCGAAAATGGGAATGACAGAAGTCAGGATGAGAGGTGGGGTTGCAGGTATAAAGCGACTGATTTTCAGTGTGTTTCTTTATGTGGGTCTACTTTAAGAGTGGGCTGCAAAAGTGTGGTCCAGACTGACAGTCGATCCTTCCACTAGAATCCATACGCCGCATACGGAAGTAATCAATGCTGTCAGGGTTCCCTGGGCCATAACGTGGAAAGCGTTAAGAGTGGTTGTTTCTGAAGCATTTGGGATGCTTGACTCGGTTTCCAGCAGGTGCTGCTCCCCATAAATAAAAAGGAGCTTTCCTTTCCTGAAAAAAAGGAAAAAAGAAGGAAAAGTCGACACAGGCGGGACACTTAACGAGGTGATAAGAGCACCCTCGTTAATTGGGCCTGCTGGAAAGGCTCCATCTATTGGTGGGGAACAGCACCTGCTGGAAATCAGGCCCAGCATCCCATCATGATACAACAAACAGCTTGCTGGAAAGCAGGTCCAGCGTCCCAGTTTGGTACAAGCAACAGTCTGCTGGAAGGGGGGTCCAGCGTCCAACTGTAATCCCATAGTCGACCTGCTGGAAACGAGTCCAGCGTCTCAGTTATAGTACCACAGTAGTACTATCTGGGCCGAGTTGGTGATCATGTGCTGTTCTGATCAAAGCAGGGCTATACTAAGCTCTGGACGTGATCACGGTCAGGTTCATCCAGTTGTGGCCGTAATTGCAGTCAGATACATTTCGGAAAATGCTTGTGTGAGTATGCCCGACTCCAGCAGGATTCAGATTCATGATCCGTTCGTCAACAGTCACATGTCTGTGGGTAGTCTGCACCATTCAGCCACAAGGACTGGATGGAATGGTCAGAGAGTTGACAAAGACCAGTTGAGAACTTAACTTTTTTTTTTTTCACTCCCACAGTCCCACAAGAATATATTAAAATTTTAAGCCCAGAAGACAGTATGTTAAAACCCTAAGTTACAGCCCAGTGCTCACTAAACCCAGTCTAAACTGCCACACAGCATTGAGTACTCCCTTCTCGTGGGAGTATTAAACCACCAGTACTTCCGACACAATACAAGCTGGGATGGGCTCCCTTTCAAATCTGGCTCAGGAGCTGCAAGAGCTATAAGGGGCAATTCCTTTGGCCTGGATTAGGACTCTCTAAAATGGGCCTACCATTCTCAACGGGGACTGGGTGGTCCACATGGACTCCCCCTGCACCTCCCCATGACTGTCTACAAGGTCGATCAGGTAGCCCTGTCCTTAGTCCTGGCCCTTAACGTGCACTGCCCAGTACTCCCAGGGACGAGCTGGTCGGCAATCCACCGTGAGGAGGATCTGGACCGACAGGGCCTGGCCTCCTCCATCAGAGTACGGGTAGTGAAAGACCAAGCGGACACGTACTATCTATATAAGCCCTCTATCCACCTGTCCGTTCGACCTCAACAAACTGGGAATGGCAATGGGGGACTAACACAACAATGTATCCATGACAATACACGCTCAAGAATGGGTACAGGCACGCACACCCACCCCGGTGATGGAGAATGTCTTGCGAAGATGGGAAAGGGACTCTCCCCTGAAAAGGACAGACCTCCAATTCTTTAAGTGGTCATCCCATTTTCACATCAGCCCAACCAACCATAGAGCCCTCCAGTGGCTGATCATCCACAGATGCCTGTCCACCCCGGACTGGCTGATAGACAGAACAGACTTGTAGCTAAAAGGGCTCCTTTCCCCACTGTGCTCCAACTGTGAGTTGATCTCACCCAGAAAGCGTGCAACATAAATTACTCTCCGCTACTTTCAAGGCAGTTTCGAGTATAACCTTTCGTCTTTTCCTATCGTTGGCCATTTTCCTTGATATTTTAGCGGTTGTTTTGGCTAGCGTCAAGTAGCTATCCTGGAACCATTGCCACCTGTCCCCCCCTAAGATGAAGCTTCCTTTTAGATTCTTCCAGTTCTCCTCCATACACCCTATGAATTTGTGACTCAGTAGGAGGGAGTTGTTTAATTTGTTGAAGCTCCGTCCTTTCTGGATGAATTGGTCGAACTTGACGATCAGTTCAATTGGTTTGTGGTCCAGACCCGGGTAGGGTGCCAATGGCAAAATGTCAGCTTCCTTGACTGTTCCCATGAGATGGTCAGACACCAGAAAGAAGTCTATGCGAGAGAAGGCCGTATGGTGGGCGTGTTTTTTCTTCACTAGTGAGAAACCTCTTATTGACGGGTGTAGGGTACGGAACGGGTCCACCAGACTATGGTCCATAATTAGTTCCTGGATGGGCGCCGCTTCCTGGGAAGACTGAGATGAGCCCGTTCTTGAAATACGATCATTAACGAGTGTGGCATTCCAGTCTCCTCCTATTATGCAGGCTTGTAGAAGCAGGATGAGTTGCCCTAGGGAGTGGATCTTCATGCCGGCCCTGTCGTTAGGAGCATAGATATTGATCAGTCTGAAGTTTTCCTCCTTCCACCTCAAGTCCATGAGGCACCACCTTCCCTCATTATCACCTTCCCTGTATTGATTATTGTGCCAACCTTGTAGAGTTGAGAGTTTTTCGGTATTAGAATGGTTGTGCCTTTGCTGCTTGTTGCGTTGTCTGACGCCCAGACTGCATCTTTGATCCCACCTAATCTTCTCATAAATATTTTTTTCTAGTTTCTATGTTCTGTATTGTTTGTCAGGTGCGTTTCTTGAAGCATTATGACGTCCGTGATTCTGTTATTTTCCTGCTTAAGACCCTTAATTATATCATTAAATTTATCTTCCTTATTGAGGATGTTGCCTAAGCCGTTCACATTCCAACTTCGGATGACTATACCGTGTGCTCTCCAATTCGGCTTGGGGGCTTGCTGATTGGCTTTGTTCCTGAAGTCCTCCATCCAGTACCCCTACTGGGTAACATTGGGTTCTCTGACCCAAAAATCCTAGGTAGGGGGCTTATCTTTGTTAATTTTGGCCATTGGGGACACCTTTGCAGGGTCATCCAACTTATATTCCCCTATGCTCCCGCTAACCTGTCTCCCTGGAACCCCATGGGGTCCTGATCTGTGCACTCATCGCCGGCCCAGGCTACCATGTCATCCTCCTGGAAGTCGTCTCTATAAAAGCAGTCCAAATCGAGGGCAAGAGCTCTAGAATCCAGGCCTGCATTGTCGTCCAGTGTGCCCTCCCTGAGGATGTCCGCCAGCGAAGCAGCCGAGAGCTCCACCGGGATTCCCAAGCCTAAAAGCACGCTGTATGGGATTGCAGATACCGTACGCCAGGACCTCCACATCATACCCCTGTTGAGTCTTATGTTTTCCGGCATCTTGGCAATCGGAGACGTGAAAGAAGTCGGTCTGGATTCAGCTGGATCAGACGTGGTCCTTTGCATATCTTTGAGTTGCGTCTCGTGTGGCCCGGTGAAATCGTCTGACCCCTCTGTTACAAATACACCGAGCGGGCAAGCAACAGTAATTTTTCAACGAATTACTGCCATCAAGTTTTATGCTTCCTCGAAGTGTGGGAGTGCAAAGGAAACATCTGTGGCCACCTGCCACTCACCTGTCTCCTTAACATATATTGTAGCTAATAGGGGTCGTAGACCCATCATGGTGAGTCTGGTGGATTTGGCTTGTTGCAGCACGTGTGGGGTTTTGCCATCAGCTATGTGCCGCAGAGATGTGAATTCTGGCTCATACGCAGCATTGAGTTTCTTCAACTTTTTTGTTTGCGCCTCAATGACAGCAAATCCATTTCAAGCTCAATGCGCTCTGTCTTCCTTGTGTTCTCATTCTGGCCAGACTTCTGGTCATCTTTTTCGTGTGCTTTGATGGTTTTCCATTTCTTTGGGCGCAGGTCTTGGAACTATTCTTCTGAATCCTTGATTGTTTCCTTAGTGCCCGACTTCCCCTGTTCTCTGGTTCGTTTTTTCTCTGCGTACCTGAAGGCAGCGTACTCTGAGAACTCTTGTTCAAGCAGTTCAAAATTATTTGCTGATTTTTGGATACCGGCTATTGTGCCTTGCTTCTTATTCCTCTCTATGTGTTTCAGGCAAGCTGTCCGGATGTTGAAGAGGTGTTGCCTCTGCCTTTTGACATTTTCAATGTACTCCCGTAGCCATTGAAGAAACCTGTTGGGAGGGGGCGCCTGATCGTTGATGGTAGCCGAGCCTTTTGAGCTCTTGCTATCCTCAGTGTCTTCTTCCTCCATAGCCGAGTCTTTGTTCTTATCCATGAATTGGGCTGCGGTGATGTGCGGGTCTTTTACATCCTCTTCCATTTGAGCCCTTCAGGTCGCTTTCCTCCTTTTAGAGTCCGATTGCCCTCTTTCCTGATTGGGGCTAATGTCCAGAGTTCTTTTGTTCTCAGTTTGTTGGATGGTCCGTTCTTGCTCTTCCACTTTTCTTTTTTCGTCGTTCTTTCTGCTTTCAATTATTTCCTGTGTTTTTTTTTTTGACTTTTCTGGGTCCTTGGAGCACTCATGTTCAGCCTGTTCTCTCACTGAATCCAAGACCCATAACAAGTCTTCCCTTGCTTTCTCCTCCCTTATAACCCGCGAATCATTCAAGGGGGTGGTATTGATCTTTGTGGGGTTGCCAACTTCTTTCCCCGTTGCCATCTTTTGCCATCTGTTGTCGGCAGGGGGAAAGATATCCGGCTTCTTTGTTGTTGGCTCCTTGTCCGAGTAGTGCCAGATCCAGTCCGGGTCTTCGAGATTGTCGTCAAAGACCCACCCGTTGTAGGTAGGATCCACAATGAACCATGTACCCGGGGCTTCTTCGACCTCAACCAACATATTGGGCATAAGTTTCCTCTCTTTCTGGTTCGTGGGAAATATGGGACAGTTCGGGTCGGTACCCATGTGGCCTCGTCCTCTGCATCTGAAGCAGATCGGCGAGGTCTTTGTGGAGATTTCAATCACTAGTTCCCTTTCCTCGATCGTGAGTGTCCATGTTAGTGGGAACACTGGAGGATCGTCTATGTTCACTTCCAATATTGTCGTCATGGATCCATAGTGGGGAGCAAGAAAATCCGGAGTCGGCAGAATCCACTTGAGGATTTCGTTCGCTGGGTATTGCTTCTCCAGTCTGTCCACTACCAATCCGTGAAACCCTGGTTGAATTCTATCGAATTGCACCCATAAATTTTCTTTCATCAGCGTTTGTTTGTACGAAACTGTGAAGGTTGGGTTCGGTCGCTGGTTCATTTGCTTTTTCCATGCCGTTATTGTACAAACTGAGCCATTACAGTTCCTTGACGTCATTTCCGCTGCAGCACGCGCATGGTGCTTGTGGTTGAACACGACCAATAGCGTGTTTCGACCAACAACTGGATTGGCGTTAGTTCCTAACGGGACGTTGGAGGGGACGAGGAGAACAAGGCGGGTTAAGTAGCAGGGTTAAACGGCTTGCAGACTTCTTCTTACGACACTCGTGGTGATGATGTCAACTTAGGTGTTATCGTAGGTCGTCGTAGGTCTCCCCAGTGTTGGAAAGGGCACTTGAAGCCAGTTGACGGTCGGGCACTTTCCAGTGACGATGTCCCTCACGTTGAATACTTCGACGTGCTTTCCTTCCCTTATCGTGACAGCCGAGGCGCGCGCTTTGAGAACGCATGAGCGGGCCTCACCCGGCTTTCGGGGGGCTATGGCGCCTCAGCTAGGGCGTTGCTGTCGTTGTCAGGGCTGCTTCGTCACTTTCGATACAGACACGGCATTCGAGTTTGCCCGCACGGGCGCGGAGGGCCGCGGGCGCGAAGTCGAAACTTAGCGCAGCTCTAGCGCTAACCGGAGGCGCAAGCTCGGGAATTGGAAAGGGCCGACTTTTGACTCTTCTTCATCTCTGAAAACAGCAAAACAAAAACTTGGCGGCTATGGCCGCTCTACCTCCTACCCGTCTACCCTAACTACGAAGTACCTCTCAAGCGCCCCCTTTTCTCCTCAGGCGCGAAGTGCCCAAGGTGCCTTAACGCACAAGCAGCAGTAGCGCTTCTGCATCTTGCAATTGAACAAGTGATGAGTTGCTGCACTGTAGCAGCCAAATATAGAGAGCTGGACATGGCTTGGCCTGCTTCAGACCGGTACCGGTCGGCAGCGGCCTGTCTGCTGCAATCATTTTGTCGGCCTGGTAGCCTCCGGACTTTCCTGGGACATGCTGCAAAAATAGGACCTGGGACTGTACTGGACTGGACTGGACTGGACTTGTCGGGTACCGCACTGACTTTTACCGACCTGTGACGTTTCGGTGCCGACACCTACCAACCTCTGACGCTTCAGCCTATGGACCATGCGAGCTACACTATTGGGACAGCCTGGCACCGAGATCGTCTGGGATTGGGACACTTTGGGACCCTGGGACCGGAGCTGGGGATGTCTGAAGTGTGAATCCTTTCAAGTTAAAGTCGCCAGCTATAATAGTTTGGTCAACATCCGCGGTGAGGGCCTGCAGGCCCGACCACATCCTCCTACGTGCCCCTAGCTCCATGGGCCCGTACACCGTAGTGATTCCCCAGGTCTCCTCCTCCCATCTAAGCAACACCCATGCCCATTGATACACCTGAATAATAGGCTGAAATGCCGCTGAATCCCATTCAGGGCAGGGTTGCATACCTGCCAACCACCAACTTCAACCGCCGACCGTTTTGCAGCCAACCAGTAGGGCCTACTGGTCGGCGGTCTGCCGACCACGGTGACCAGTCAGAAAACAGCCATCCGCTGATTTTTTTTCAAATCTAAGTTGGGGGCTGTACTGCGCTTGCTGAGTATAGCCCAAATCCGCTGAGAAACTTTTGGGGATGGGGGAGGGAGTATGGGGGGGGGGGTTGGAGTATAGCGGGGGTATAGGAAGGGGACAGGGGGGTATAGGGGCTGTCTCTTATACACATCTAGATGTGTATAAG